TCCCTGTCACACTGTGAAAACAGCTCCTCAGCATTCATGCCATCGCCTCCAGGGCCTCACTTTGAGATTCAACCTTCACAACTTTATCTGGGCTTCTGCAAATGAAAAACAGTCTGGCAGATGGCTGGGGCCTCTTAAGCTCAGGAGGCATTTTAACTGAAAAGTCTGTTAGGGCACACTTTCTAGGTAGACACTACATAGGTATGACTTAAAGTCACTTGATCATTAGCTCCTTTTCCCCCCTCACAGAGCCCTGCTCATCCCTGTCTCTATTAAGATCGGTAATAAGCGCCTCAGGGCAGGAATTAGAGGTGGAATTGATTTAATTAATGAAGCAATGTAAGAGAATCAAGTTATTCAGGTGAAACCCAAATCCTGACTGTTGGGGGAATTTCCTTCACACTAACTAAAGGACTTGAGATGAAAAACAAAGAGAAGTGTTGTCATATATTTCACATATTTCATCATCGTCACTGCCACAGTATGCACCTCCTTTCTATTCAGACTATTAAATTAAACTGACACTGCATATTAGCTTAGTGAATACCTCTAGAGAGATTAACATTTTTTATAAAACCATCCAGTCTTCCCACCTGAGAGTGTCCCTACAGCTAAGTCAGCTCAGGCCATTAGCCGTGTGCCTAATTGCACAGTTGGTATGTAATTTTAATGCAGATTTAGCAGCACTAACTTCTAAAGGTTTTGAGCAAAAAAGGAAAAGTTGGAGGGAGTTTTAAAGCTAGTTCAATTCAGTCTTCATGGTCTCTTCAGGCTTCAAAAAAAAGAGACAGCTTAACTGCCACAGTTCCTTTGTAGGGTGAAATGACATTAGTCATTAATAAAGCAGTATATGCAGTATTTTACTCAAAGCAGATCCAACAACAGAAGTAAGAGGTGGTCAGCGGCACTCATCATACAATCTCTCTGCCTTCACACGTGTTTTTTGTTCTTGTCCTCCACCCACTCTCTCTGATGTGCTGAAGTGGAGCAGAGCCAGCTGGACATTCAACCATTGATTGAAGGACCAGGAAGTGCTCTCATCTCTTCTCACTTCATCTTAGCCATTCTCCTCCTGCATCCTCATCCTCCTCTTCCTCCTCTCCACATGAAATCAAACAAGCTCTCTCTCTTTATCTTCTTTCTTGAAAGCCCGTGTTTCTTGCAGAGTGATAAAACATCCTGCTTAAGTGACCAGGTCAAGGTCATCTCTCCCACACATCACAATTTGCTTTTTCCCATCTATTCTACATTCAGCCTGCACCTGTGATGCTGATGCATCTATGTGGTCTAACCCAGCAGGCGACACGTAGATGAAGCAAAGATATGAAAAAGGATGATCTTTTGCTATGATTGGCCTCTTATGTAAGTTATGAACTGATATGAGCCGTCTGTTCTGAGCAGTTGATCGTCAGAGTCTGAACAGTCAGTATAGAAAGGGTATCTTAGTTTGCTTTGTAAATGAACACATTAACAAAAGCATTCTATTACAGTGAGCCTGTCAGATGTGATAATAGCAAAACAAATGTCTGCGTTTATCATTATGTTGTTTCACAGGGTCATTTTTCAACTAGTCTGACAACACTGGTGATGGCAAACTAAATTTATGTCATACAGATTTGAGCAAATCAGCGGAAAGATCAGATAAAAATCTAGTGGCTGCTAATCTGATGATTCAGGGGAAGCAGAGGGAGGTACAGATTTACAGCTCAAAGACATTAAGTAAGTGAAGACTGTTTAACTGAAGGGTGAAGAGGTGGGATTTCTAGTGGAGTCATTGTAAGGCGAAAAGAAGAATTAGGAGTTCCAGCTCATTTAGTGCTCCAATAAACTGCCTGTCTTTCTTTGGGAAAACTGTAGGCTGCTTCTGCTGCCAGCATTGATTACAAAGTTGTTTGACCATGTGGATTGTGTGACTAAAACTATTTATAAACTAAAATATTCTATAAGTGCATGAAGTATAAATAAAATATTCAATTTGAGGGCGAGACAGAGTGCATGACCTTTCAATAAAACCTATTAACCCTAACCCAGATCTAATCATAATAGTGCCAGAGTCTCCTGATGCATTGCCCTGACCGCACAATCATTCAGGTAAATCTACTGGTCTGGAACATCTAAACTAGTCCAGTGGACATTCATTTCTCTTTGCAGTTAGCTACACAGGCTAATCCAGAGGGCTAATTCATGTGTAAACTTGTAGTCAGACGTAGTGACAAGCATTTAAAATAGATTATGTAAAACAGAGGCTTATTTTGAGCTACTAGGGAGAAGCAGTTCACAGACGCAGCGGCACATAAACACAAACACACACCTTAAACTCAAGAATTATGTGTAACTTTTTTCATACTGTCTCAACAGCTAATCATAAGGATCAATACTGAAACTGTGCTCGTGATGTTGGCGTTCAGCCTTTTGCGTTATACCTACAAAATTCCTGCTCTCATGAGTTTTTGCTTAATTACGAAGTCCATTAGCACAGCAGAACATTGTTTGTAATTTCTTTCTGCTTTGATGAAAAACATATATAGAGAGAGTAATATCATGGGCTCATGTGATCAGCAACGAGCTCACCGTTCATTAGTTACAGTTTCACTGGTCATATTTAATGTTTAAATGTAGAGCCAGACTTACAGAGCAGCTCTTACCTTAGCCGTGGCTCGCGCCTGGTATTCTGGACAGCCATTCACTGTGATCGTTTCGTGCATGTATTGGTACACCTGAAGCAGATGAAGAGAGGCAGGTGTTATAATTATGCTTCACATGGTTGAAATCTGAAATCACCACCTTGCACTTGAGCTCAAACACTTCATTTCCATAGTCAAGTAATGGTGTTCCTTCACAGCTGGCAGTACAAACTCAGACTGCATTAACTGGCTGACTGATGGAAATCACAGAGCACTACCCAGAAGAACCACTCACAAAATCTGCTTTCATTAACCTTACACATGCAAAAAGTATGTAAATCCTATTATTTTCCCAGTGCATGCACGACGCCACACAAATCAAGATTTTTACACCTTGTAGCACAAAATCCCTTTGAGATGTGAAGACCTTCTGCAAACAATCAGCAGCATATTAGTCAAAAGATTTTGCCTCTAGACTTTCACAGTAGAGAACATTTTAATTATTGCAATAAGGATGTGCGAAGTTGCCAGCCTCGGAGATTATATAATATTAGCCTAAACATAATTCAGTTGAATATTTGTGCAGCACCACAGTACGCATACATTTCTTAACAAATATTGAAAAATCTTATTTCTTAGCTCAGGAAATGGAGGCACAATCTGGTCATAATGTTATAAAGAGCACAATAGTTGTCAAGAAAAGGCAGTGATACACGACTGCTCTGGACCGATTTGTTACCAAGACACTGGGCTTTTTAAAAAGCACATTTTTGAATTGATTCATTGCAGACTGCTGAGGTTTCCAGTTAAGATGTATCGCTTAAAAACACAGATAGGCCACATCCCTGTAGTGCTCAAATTATGAACCAGTTGAGTTGTATGGGCCTGTTACCAGGAAATGCTTGCTGAGCTGGTGCAACAGAGCTGAAAAAGCACACAGAGGTTTTCTAAGTACAAATCCATCTACTTGGTTTAATCTTAATTTCATGGCAGATGTAGTTAATTGAGCAAATGAGCCGTCAAATTTCAACCAGACTAAAGATACCAAGTAAAAACTAAGCAAAACAAACTCAGAATTATTATTCATGGCATATTAGATACTGTCGTTCAAATGAATTTTAATCACGTTTCCATTCACATGATGATGCCTCTCATCAAAACACGTACAACGTCGCAAAGGCCTCGCTTCTTTGAATTATCAAAAGGATGTTTACTTATAGGACGATTTGAATGTAGAGATCTCAGAGTGAGGAAAAGAAATAACCCTGAGCTTCTCTTGTCTTGTTTGCTCATAAATCTCAAAGAGCAAATGAACGAGTTTGGAGACCACAGCTCTAAGTTTCAGACCGCAACACACTTTTGTAGATTTATAGCCCTTCTGCAGTCAGATCTGCACATACACAACTCCCAGATGATGCTTTTCCTAAGGACATGTTCCACCTCTTCACCTTTTATGGCTGAGCACAGCTTTATAAATACCATGAAAGGTTTTGCTCGGCTCTCTCTGCCTGCAGAGTAGCTTCCTTTTCCCCTCAGTGATACTTTTCTTTAAACAGTACTGCAACTGCGAATGACATCTATTTATTCTTATCGCATTTCGGACATGGAATCTGTAACAATGCTAGCTTCATCTATCTGTAAAACTAGGCAGGATGCTATATTTATGTAGCACTTTTCAAACATAAAGCAATTATTATTTTAAAATGAAACAGTTCAACTTGATGAGATGAACATTTATTATTTTATTTTCTTTGCATATAAACGATAGCTAACTGAGAATTATAATTACAGTTAACTGAGAAATGAAATGATTTAATTTGTTATCTCCCTGTGTATTTAACTTGTATGCAGTGGCCTGAATACCAGAGCCACAACACTGTGCCTTTATGTGTCAGTGTTCTCTTGATGTGCCAGCATTTTGCTCTGACCACACCGTTGTGCCACAGGCA